CTCCTGCCACTTGGTCCTGTTACAGAGCAGTTGTAGGATGTTCAGCAGCCCCCTTGGCCCCTACATACCAGTAGAAGCATGTTCCTCCGTTGGACAACCAACAGTGTCCTCAGATATGGCTAGATGTCCCATTGGGGGTAACACATCACCCTCAGATGAGCACCCTTGGTCTGCAGAGAGAGAAGAGTTAGAATTTTTTTTTTAAGATTTATTTTTATTATTTTTTTTTTTGGGAAAGGCGGATATACAGAGAGGAGAGACAGAGAGGAAGATCTTCCATCCGATGATTCACTCCCCAAGTGAGCGCATCGGCCGATGCTATGCCGGTCCGAAGCCAGGAGCCTCTTCCGGGTCTCCCGCGCGGGTGCAGGTTCCCAAAGCTTTGGGCCGTCCTCTTCTACTTTCCCGGGCCCAGGCAGGGAGCTGGAAGGGAAGCGGGGCTGCTGAGATTAGAACTGACGCCCATATGGGATCCGGGGCGTGCAAGGCGAGGACCTTAACCACTGCGCCATCGCGCCGGGCCCAAGAGTTAGAATTCTTACACATCATACCTGCTGCTGCTGCAGCTGGCTGTTCCAGGGACGGGGAGGAGCAGGGGAGGAGCCTGCCAGCTGCCCGTAGCACTACTTTAAGAAGCAGTAACAGGAGACAACACAGCTTCTGGCTGCACTTGGAATCAGTGAGTCCAATACAAACTGTCCACGGGGCACATCATGTAAAAATCTCAGGTCACCGGGCCCGGCGCGGTGGCGCAAGTGGTTAAAAGGTCCTCACCTTGCATGCCCGGGATCCCATATGGGCGCCGGTTCTATCCCGGCAGCCCCGCTTCCCTTCCAGCTCCCTGCCTGTGGCCTGGGAAGGCAGTCGAGGACAGCCCAAAGCTTTGGGAACCTGCACCCGCGTGGGAGATCCAGAAGAGGCTCCTGGCTTCGGACCGGCATAGTATCGGCCGTTGCACTCACTTGGGGAGTGAATCATCGGACAGAAGATCTTCTTCTCTGTCTCTCCTCTCTGTATATCCGCCTTCCCATAAAAAAATAATAAAAATAAATCTTAAAAAAAAAAATCTCAGGACACCTGTCCTGGCAGCCTCGATGCTGTACATTCAACCCAGTTTTGCTTAGGAAAGAAGTCTGAGGTGAGGGTGGAGGTGAAGTGGTGCATCCCAGCAAGTGCCGGAACCACATCTAGTTCCCTAAAGCGTGCTGTGTCTTCTCCTCTGGCCAGCCACGTCAACCACAGTTGCTAGGACGACATTGTTTTGTTTGGTTTAAAACCTGAGCGTCCGTGAAACTGCACAGCAGTTTTATGGAAGTTGAGAAAGCGGGAAGAGACCTGGCAGACCAGAGAGTCCCGCCTCCTCCATGAAGAAATTAGGAAACTGGATTTCCAGGAAGCTTATTGCATCCCTTCTCGGAGTGCGGTGCACCTGTTCCCCAGGGTGCTGAGCCATCAGAGAGGAGGGCTGTGTTTGAGCATGATCCCTGCTGTCCCCAGGAGGTTCCCTGCCCCTTTGGAAATACTCTCTCGAAATGAGAAACTTCAAAGAATTTTTGGAAAAGGGGAATTGAAAGGGAAAGTCTATTTGGGGTGAAAAAAAAGTCTTGAGATCTCCATGCATTTTTTTTTTCATGAAGTACATTTTCATAAGCTTTCTGTAGACCCCCTGTCTTGTTCTCTAAGCTAATCATATAGGTATGATCTTGCAATAAAAATGAGATTCAGGGGTGAACACTGGGCCTGGCAGTTAGGGCACGCTGCTGTTTTAAGAACGTGCAGTTGGCACCCAGTTCCAGCTCTTCCTGCTGGCAGGGGCTCTGGGATGCAGCAGTAAAGTGATTATTTTGTTGCCACCTTGGGGAAGATCTTCCATGGGTTTCTAGCTTCTGTACGCCGCACCCTCCTGCCAGCCACTTCAGGTATTTGGGGACAGGGCCAGGGGGTAGGGTCACTTTCTCTTTTTGGCTTTCTAATACGATTTTTTTTTTAAAGAAAAGGTATTTAAATGAGACTAAGTGTGAGAATACACTGAGAGTTGATTGTGAAAGCCCATTTAACAGTGTAAGTGTGTAAGAGCACGAGGCGGCCTGGGGGTCCCTGGCTGTTGGGTCACATTTGTGTGGTCAGATCTCTCTGAGACCAGTGATCTCACTAGGAAAGCAGTGAAAGTAACAGTGAAAGTTGTGTGGCAAGGTTACAAGGTTGCGGTGAAGGTCAGGAGCTCACAATAGTAGCAAAGAACTCAGTGTAGCCACTGGTGTCTTCTCAGAAAGTTTGTGTGACATGTGCATGGATTTAGAACATTCCTTGGCACCATGGTAAGGCTGTCTCTTCACCCAGTTTTCTGTGAACATTTTGCACATATCAGCCACTGGCCTTGTTGTCTTACACTAGGAAGCACCGCCTCTTTGTACTTTCCTTCTGGAGTTCTTTCTAGGCGGTATGCTAGCAGCCAAAGTCCTCGCCTTGCACACACCAGGATCCCCTATGGGCACTGGTTCGTATCCCAGCGGTCCCACTTCCCTTCCAGCTCTCTGCTTGTGGCCTGGGAAAGCAGTAGAAAACGGCCCAAAGCTTTGGGACCCTGCACCCATGAGGGAGACCCAGAAGAGACTCCTAGCTCCTGCCTTCGGATTGGCTCAGCTCTGATTGTTGTGGCTACTTGGAGAGTGAATCATCAAACAAAAGATCTTCCTCTCTGTATATCTGACTTTCCAATAAAAATAAATAAATCTTTTTTAAAGAGTTCTGTAAACTTCATTTCCTTAACACCCTTGAACATTGAAAGGAAGGCAGTCGGAATGGCTCGTGGATTGTCACCTCTTCTGGAACATGGGCAAAAGACTGAAAGTGTGGGATGAGGAAAAGACATCACAAACAGGGCACCAAAGCCACGCTCCTTGGTGACTTTTCTCCCCCAGGCTAAATGGCATTATCCTCCTGTTGTATTTGCTTGCATTGGCATAGTGCTGTATGAGGCGAACGCTTAAATGATACTCCTTCTTAACCATCCTCAATGGAAATATAACTTAAACGTTAGTAAAGGGGGCGCAGCCGTATGGCACTGCAGGTTTTACTGCTGCTCGCAACACCAGCATCTCATATCACAGCACCTGTTTGAGTCTCAGCTGCTTTGCTTCCTCTCCAGCGTCAGCTGATGTGCCTGGGAAAGCAACAGAAGACAGCCCAAGTGTTTGACCGTGCCACCCAAGTGGGAGATCCAGAAGGAGTTCCCAGCTCATAGCTTCAGCCTGGTCCACGCTTGGTTATTGCAGCCATTTGGGAAGTAAGCCTAGCAAAGGGAAGACTGTCATTCTCCCCTTCAAATAAATATTTCAAAATGGAAAAGTACAGGAAATATCTTCCTTACACACACACACACACGAGTTAGAAAAGGAGCCATTTGTGTACCCCTGTGTCCCTTGGGAGATCCAGGAATCTATTTGCTGAGCCTGTTTGGGGAACAGTCAGCTAAACTCTTCAAAGGAAGAAAAATCGGTGTTGGAACAGATGTCAGGTTGTTCATGCAATAATTTAGTTGAAGAAAGTTTGAGTGTATTTTAGTTTTCTCCCTAATGTTTGTACAAATTAAGTCCCAAAGGGACGTAACCCCCTGCATGTATCCCAGTTGATCCTTCAGTGATCGCGAGCCTCTTTGATGCACACAGACGGATGGATTGTCAGCGGCCTGCCCCCTCACCACCACCCCGACCCCGGCGCCAACACTCCGGTGTCCTCCGCAGGGTGTGCGTTGGGCACCCACACATCACCACAATCTGCAGCAGTGATTTTAGACCTCGGGTCTGGCAGGAAAGGCTGGTGTTCATGGATTTGCTCTTGAAGACCAGTGTCCGGCACACAAGGAGCTTTGGCCTCAAGTGCTTTCAGGTTCATTTATCTCCTGGACTTCACTTGCCCCCAGGAGGGCCACTTGTTGGCCCACACGTAATTATCACGTCAAGACCAGGGTGTCTGTGTTTAGAGGGGCACTGTTGATGTTCAAGTTCAACCCTCCGGGATGCATCCCTCTGTCTGCAAATTCAAGAAACATCGTACTTTGCCACTCACAGCTTCTACCCCTGAGCCAATGGGCCTCTTCATACCTGATGTCCATGCAGATCATGTCCCTGGAAGCTGGGAGCTGGTGAATGGTGTTTCTTGCAGGAATTCACTTCTTAGGGATCAGCTGTGGGCTGGGACATGTCTCCCTGCAACCAGTCATGTTGGTGTGGTGAAGCGTCTCTCACTCAGATCCTTATGTTCTTGAGTCCCGACTGCTGAGTCAGGATAGGGAGATGGCCACGGTAGGGTCAGATGGCAGTCCAACTTCTTGTCCTAGGTTCTCCCAGTGAAGGCAGTTAAACTGTTTGGATTTTCTGATGACTAAACCCTGTCGAATGTTGCCATCTAGTGGAATGTATGGCAAACTAAAGCTGAATGCCTGGTGACCAGAAAGTTCCGGTGGGAGCTCATGATACTAGAAGAAACAACGAAAAGTGATTTTAAGGCCCAGTGTTTGGCAAACACATGCAAGTCCAAATGAAACCAAAGCTGACTTTCAGTGGTTATGGTTCTGAAAGTAGGTGAGAGGTCAACCTGTTTCTCAAGGTGGGTGGGTGTTTACCAGCAGCGTGAGGCCCAGGCAGATCCCCGAGCTCCAGCAGGGTCAGGGCACTGCCATCGGTGTGAGTATTGCCAGGCAAGCAGCCCGAGCATCACTGGGCTCCTGGCATCGTTTTGACAGTGTGGTTTTCAAGATTTCTCAGGGCTCTCTGGGACAGATTTCTTGGTTCCCTGTTACACTGCTGCAGAGAGCATAAGATGCTGGCTTTTAGGAAAAGCAGGTGCGTGGCTTTGGAGATTCTAAGTAGCATCTCACAGCTGCCCCACCAAGCGTGTGAGCCCGGTAAAGACCTGCAGGATGGGATTCGGGGTATACTGGAGGAATACCGACGGCTCATTTTGCTTCTGTCTCTGTCATGTGCTTTGCGATTGCTCAGGTCCCTCCCTGGTGCCACAGCTGCCGAGTGCGCATTGAACCTGAAGAAAATCTACACGGTGGGGACAGTACAGGTAAGAGCTGGGCATTTCACCACCACCCCCTTGGTAACCACCACTAAGGCTGCAGCTGCTGCCAGGTCCTGCTGTGGAGTGGGCTCTGGGGCATGTTTTAGTATATTTTAGCATAGCTGCCCTGGACCTACTCAGTCCTCACTACCTCCCTCTTCCTGAAAAGACAAAGTTGTGGGACAAGGACGAAGGTTTGTCTCCCTATTCAGATTCCAGCTCAGCTGCCCGCTTTCTGAACCATCTCTGCCCACCTGGGTGGGGTCGTGGCACCCACTCTGCAAGGTTTCTGACGCTACAGGGGTCCTGGGAGGGGAACAGAATGGTGTGAAGTGTGGCCCAAGCTGCCGCTTCCCCCTCCAATTGTGTCACCCTACGTTAGGCGCTTTCATTTTTGTGAATTACAGTGAAAACAGCTCCTTGTGCATGGGTTCCATGAGGGCTGAGGAAGATCGCGCACACCCCAGGCTTAGCAGGTCCCCTGCCAGCTCCCAGTTTCTCAGGGGAGGGGAAGCACTTAGTCCTGTCCGCAGCCACCTCTGAGGGTGAGCATGTTCTGATAACTGATTGGGTTGCATCTCTGTCTTCTCCAGTAGCAAGTGCTGTCAGGTGTCCCTTCTGGCTCAGTGGCACACAGAACATGGCCTTTAACAAAAGGCTACTTGAGGGCCCCAATGTTGAAATGCCAGTTGAGGGGCCTGCATCCCACTTGGGAGTGCGCGACTTTGAGTCCCAGCTTTGCTGTTTATGCCAGCTTCCCTGGTAAAGTGGACCGTGAGGGACAGTAGGTGATGGCTCAAGTAACTGGTTACCCACATGGGAAAGCTGCATTGAGTTCCCAGCTCCTGGCGTGGTGGTGGGCGTTTGGGGAGTAAACCAGAGGCTGAGAGTTCTCCATCACTTGCTTTCTGTGTCTGTCTGTGTCTGTCTCTTTTTCTCTTTCTATCTCTATGCATCTTTTTAAAAAGGGCTGCTTCAGAATTGGACTGACCCTAAGTCTATGAGTTTTGCAAAAGGGATATATTTTTCAATGTTTTGCTTCAGGGTCCCTAAATCATTTCACATTGCAGAAGGCCCAATAGGTGGTGTCTTTCCGGCTACCCTCTTAGGGTCTGAAGTCATGCCAAGGTGCCCTTTTCAGACCCTGCCCTCAATATCGGTTCTAAAACTGGAGGATTCACTCTCCCAGGGTTCTAGCCGGAAGGTGCTCTGTGTAGCCTTGGAAGCAGTGAGCTGTTGTCACTGGGAGGTGACAGGATCAGGTGGAAAGCAACCAACAGCGCCACTGCAGATGGAGAGTCTTGGGCAGCGCAAGCTGCTGGGCTGAGTCAGGGTGAGGCTTCCCCCAAGGGGCCCTCTGTGTGAGGTTGTAGATTCAGACTCCTGTCTCCCAGCAGGCTTGAATGAACTTCAGAACCAGTGACCTGACCTTGAGTGCAAGTCCTTATAGCCTTATACTCTCCAGAGGGACACACTGTTTTTTTTTTTCCCCCATTGCAACAACTCAGGATCTCGATAGCTGTGTGTGGGCAACTAGCCTGGTCTCCCTGCATGCACTGGATGACAATGGGCACTGGGGTGAGCCTCTGGATCCAGACATTGTCTTTGAAGGACCACTTTAAGCTGCCTGAGGTGTCCCATCCCAGGAAATGCTTTCCTTAAAACTGACCTTCTCTGCAGGATAATTTATATGCAAAAAATGCAGATTTCTCACCTGTAAGTTTTGACAAACGTGACCATGACACAGAGCAGAGGTCCAGAAACTTCCATCACACCAGAGAAGCTCGTCAGGCCTCTTCCCAAGCAAACCCCCCTCCTGCCCCCGAGAAGCAGCCTCCGCTCTGGTGGCCAACACCTTCCATCATTTTGCCTGTCACTGAGCTTTGAACAGAAGGAATCACAGGCTATTGTACTCAGTGGTGGCCCAACTTCTTCATGTAGTAATGACAAAAGGACTGAAGGAAGGAATGAGAAATTCACCTGTAAGCTGCTTAGCTGTGTCCTAACATGCTCGGCCATGGCCGCACATTCTCAGTGGGGGCGCAAAACATTGGTTCGAGGGGGTGGGTGTCAATGAGCAAGTCTTATTTTTTTGAAGATGTATTCACTGTATCACTTCCCAAATGGCCATAATGGCCAGAGTTGGGCTGGTCTGAAGCTGAGAGCCAGGAGCTTCCTCTGGGTCTCTCCTGTGTGGCTGCAGGGGCCCAAAGCCTCTGGCCATTTTCTGCTGTTTTCCTAGGTCACTAGAAGGAAGTTGGAGCAGAAGTGGAGCAGCTGGGGCTAGGACCAGTACCCATATGGGATGCAAGCACTGCAGCGGGAGGATTAGCCGGCTAAGCCCTACAAGTCTTAGTCTTGTTGCATGTAATGCAGGGACACGCAGGCATAGACAGATGCCCGAGTGCGGCTTCTCTGTGCTGTTAGAACTTTGTTAGGCACTGTGGTGCAGGAAGTGTCCCCACCTTTGCTGCCTCTGCCTCCCTTTCTCCCTCAGCTGTGCTTGCTCCCTAGAGCGGAGCCAGGGTTCTTTGTGGTACTTGACACTTAGTAAAGTTCCCAGATGTTGCTAGCATTTACGCAAGTGTGACTGGGTTCCACCCCTCAGCTTCATCAGAGGACTGGCTAGGGCATAGGCTAGAGTGCAGCCACCTCTTTCTATCCTGTAGCTGGCAGTTAGTAGCTGGGATAAGTTCCTCAATCTCTGTGCCTCAGTTTACTCATCTGTCAGATGGGAAGAATCATGCAATGATCTGATGCTGCCGGGGAGTGATGGTGAGCACGTCTGCCACCTGTTGTTTGCTTCTATGGGAACATTTTTTTTTTTTAAGTTTAACCGATTTTTAATGTACTTCAGAGAGTAAGGAGAGAGGGGAAGACGGAGAGAAAGCCCATACACTTCACTTGTTCACTTCCAAAAATGACTAGGACTGGACTAGGCTAAAGCCAGGATTTTAGCCCTCAATCCAGGTCTCTCATACGAGCGGTAGGAACTCTGTTCCCAAAGTGTGTGTCAGAGGGAATCCGGAAGTGGGAGCCTAGCGGGGACTCCAACCATTGACTCTGATGTGGAATGATGGTGTCCCAGCCAGCCTCAAACGTCTCTCCACATTTCCCTTTCCTGTTCTCTGTAGCACAGCCTCATACCACTGCCTCTAGAGTGTTTATTTCAAGGAATCACACCCAGATTATACCACTGTTAACCTTCTGCTTGGGGAATTCTATTTAACTTGCCAGTAGCTTTTGGGATTTCTGCCTGCAAGTGGCCTTGACATCTCTGAAACAACCCTTAGTTCCACAGAACTACCTGGAGTGCTGATTTTAAAAGATTTATTTATTTTTATTGGAAAGGCAGATTTATAGAGAGAAGGAGAGAGAGAGAGGAAGATCTTCCATCCCCTTGGATCACTTACCAAATGGCCACAATGGCCATACTGAGCCAACCCAAAGCCAGGAGCCAGAAGTTTCTGGGTCTCCCATGTGGGTGCAGGGTCTCAAGGCCTTGGGCCATCCTCCACTGCTTTCCCAGGCCACAAACAGGGAGCTGGATGGATAGGAAGTGGAGCAGCCAGGATATGAACTGGTGCCCATATGGGGTACTAGTGCTTACAGAGGATGAGCAAGTTGAGTCACCACACTGGCCACAAGGAGTGCTGATTTTAAAGTCAACTGAAGACATGCCTTGCTTTGTCCCCTCTTCTGCCCGCTCTCTGTGTATTGTGATTGTTGATTATTTCATTCCCAGCCTTTCTAATCGAGGCCATGCTTTCTCCTCCTATATGTGTTTGGATGAAATATAAGAATTATGTATTATTGGTGAATGTTTTACATCAAGACATTTGCATCCTTCTACCCTTTGAGGCCTTGTGCCTACCCAAGTTACTAGTGTGGGGAGGAATTGGAATACCTGTTGATTTGCTGGGGACACTGAGTCGGGGAGGTGGGTGGCCCTAACAGCCAAAGCGAAGAGGCAGCTGTGTGGTTTCCCTGGCATTGGAGCTTCCCTTCTGCTCAGTCCTTTCTCTACTCCCTGTTGACTGCACCATAGAGGAGGTGCAGCCTCCCAGGGACCCGGTGACCCCTGCTGGGGACACAGTCGTACTCCCTGCCAACAACACTGCTGCCTGACATTGCATTAATTTCCTGCTTTTCTGTCTTTCTTGGAAAATTCCACTTTTAAGTTAGGAATGTTTTCCGGTGGTTCACCGGCTCCTTTTACTCTCTTTTGAGCCTGCACGGATTTTCCACGTTTCTCCCAAGTCTTTGGGAGGATGCGGCGCGGAACAGAACCTGGCTCCCAAGCAAGGCCTTTCTCTCCTGCAGGAGAGAGGAGCACTGCCTGCCACTGGCATTGGCAGGAGGAGGATTCTTCGGTCCTGTCTGCCCCCAGGCTTACCCGCTGTAGTCCTGAAAACTCGTTCTTCTGCAGCTTTCTATCCCAAACTCACAAGGGCTTTGGGACAACCTGTGTCATCACCCTTATGATTCTGCCTTATTTGCGCCACTTGGGCTGTGCTCTTCTCCGCGTCTCCCATAAATTGACTTTCTACTTAAATTTCACATCTCTGCTGAAAAAGGAAATTCAGCCTCATTTATCATGGAGAAGTCTTTGTGAAGAGTCGATGCCGTCTGTTAAAACTGAGCATCTTTTCTGTGTCTAGTGCTAAAAGTGACTCAGGGACTGCCTGTGATGGCAAGTCAGAAAACCACATCCGCCCACCTCACCCCTCAGCCTGTGGAGGGTGTTGCTGGGATAGGACGTTCGGTGAGGGTAACAGATTGAGTTTCCAACCCTGGGGAAAGGCGGACGCTTCCTTCAGAGAAGTTTAGAGATCCATGTGGATAATGGAAGGTGGCGGGCAAATTGATTCAAAACGCTCGTTGGCCTGGATGCAAGGCAGCTCACACTGGGTGGCTGCACTCAAACAGTGTGGAATAAACGAAGCAGTTGGAGAACGAGAAGTGGCCGAGGGGGAGAGAGAGAAACTCAACACGCTAAGAGAGCGGAGGGAATGAGGTGGGGAGCCAGGACCACATCTTCTTCACAGTGATGTCCAGCACAGAAGTGAGTGCAAGTTTAATGGTACCCTTTGTCCATGAGTTCAGTTGTTATCTGTCGGATGGGGTTAGCATCCATGGTCAAAGCCCATCATGCATAAATGTCCTGCAGGTCAGGCTGCCCATGCCCAGCCATGTTTGTTCATAGCAGTGGAGACCACTGAGGAGTGATGGGTGGCATTCAATCTTGCAAGTTAAATTAATGGATCACTTCAAAGATAGCCCACAGTTTCTTTCAGTGTAAGTGGTCGTAAGGGGATATGTTCACACTCTGCCTTCTCACCCGAACTGGCATTTGTGGAAATGCACCTGAGCTTGAGGTGTTGAATATACCATCTTCAGCCCGTCCGTGGCCTTGAGTCATGGAGGCCTCTCTGCTGCATGTACCCATGCTCCCAGTTGGGGTTTCAGGAAACCTTGGCTGCCTTCCCTGTTCTCCAACACAGGGAGCATGACCCCACCCACTGTTCTCTGACCCAGCTGCCATGTTGCTGGGCTCACCAGGAAGCCGCTTGGACCCAGGGGACAGGGTAGACACCATTCTGCGCTGTGTTTCCCAGCCTTCCTACTGAGACCCCCTCCCTCCTAATGCTCCCAAGGTTTGGCTCCCATGTTCCTCTCCCCTCAAGCTCTTAACTCCCCAGTTCAGAGAAAGTCAAGCCGTTCTGGCATTCAGAGCAATTCCCCTTTCTGTCTGCAGTACCAGCTCTTCCGTATCAGAAACTCGGAGCGCTCAGTCTCTTATCTGCTCCCAGTTTATCCACCTCCCCATAAACACCGTTGATTCTGTTTGCTGGGAGCTGCCAGCAACCGGAGATGGCTGGCGAGCAGGATCAGTTGTTCTGTATTTTACGATGCTGCTACTCTCATGCTGCCCGGACCACAAAGTCCTTGAAGGAAGCCTGAATTTTAATTTTACTCTTTGAAATGTGTTTGCTGGGTGGTGGTGATTCTGTTTTACAAAACACATGTACCGCTTTGTCGTCAGTTCACCCGAGGCGTCCTTTCTTCCCTAGGATTTCCAAGTGTGTGCTTTTTGTTGACTTCGATCCTCTTGCTGTATGTTACCTTTCTAGTTTTACCTGTTAGATTATGCAGGAAGGCTTCCTCAATCGCCACAGCTTCCTAAACCATAGACCTTGGCCTGAGCGTGCCAAGGAACCTTCTTTAACATGGTGATGTATTTTTCCTCACAGAACATTAGAAGGGATACTGAGAAAAATCTGTTATGAGTGGATAGGGCTAAGTAAAATATAAAGGCGTGTTTCTCGTTAATGTATTAATCTTATGATAGAAAGGCACAGTTAATACTAGGATATTAAATCAAATGATTTTTTCCCCCCCAAGATATTCTGGAGCGTGTACAATAATATCCCGCCTGTGACCAGCCTACCCTTGCGATGTAGTTACCATTTAATGAGAGAAGAGAGGCGGCCGCTCTGGTAAGTGTCCGACATGCAGTCTGAGGTCAAGACGGGTGGGAAATGCTTAGAACTACGTGGCAGAGCCTGTCACCTGAGTTGTGCCTGTCACACTGACCCTGTGGGAAGGGCCCCGGGACCCAGGGGCAGCATCCTGTGGATGCAGTGACTCGGTGGTGTGGCGAGTCACACAGCCTTACTGAGCTGTCCCCTGACTGCTGTGCTGCCGATCTGCCTCAGCTCCTTCAGGGGCAGATGACAGAAACCCAGGTCTGAGGAACAACATAGTATTCTGGCACCTGTGACTGGGAAGCCTGGCTGATTTCTGGCACATGGGAGCTTCCGCTGTCGCCCAAAACCTACCGCTCTCCATCGTGATCCCTTCGCTTTCCTCTGTGTCGGTTGAAGTTTTTGGGTGGGTTTCTCTGGATGCCATGGCAACATGGACCTCAGAGCTGCCATCTGTGCCCCATGGTGGCTCAGCTCGCCATCCCCAGCCAATCCTGGAGCCCCGAGGAGGCAGCTTTGCATGTCTCATAAGCCTTTCTTGCAAATTGGGAGGCGGAATCAGTCTAACCAAGTGGGTTTGCTGGAACAGTAGAGCTGTGTGGTTTCTGTTGAAGAAACTGGGGGTGCCCTTGCCAGAGTGGGGAGGAGGTGTTCAACAGGAAGGTGTCATCCTGGGGACACCTGGGAGGTTGGTGCCCCTAGGGGGATTTGAGAATCAGGTAAGAAAGAAAGTGAACATGGGCCCAGCACAGTGGCCTAGCGACTGTCTTCGCTTTGAACACACCATGATCCCATATGGGCACCAGTTCTAATCCTGGCAGTCCCACTCCCCATACAACTTGTGGTCTGGGAGGGTAGTCGAGGACGGCCTATAACCTTGGGACCCTGCACCTGCATGGGAAACCCAAAAGAAGCTCCTGGCTCCTAGCTTTGCATCAGTTCAGCTCCTGTCATTGCGGCCACTTGGGAAATGAATCAACAGGCAGAAAATCTTCCTGTCTGTCTTTCTTGCTCTCTGTATGTCTGACTTTGCAATTAAAATAAATAAATATTTTTAAAAAGTGAATATGCTATCAAAATTCAGAGGTCTCTGCCCTGAGCCTCCCAGGACAACTTCTTCTTCTTCTTCTTTTTTAAGATTTATTTATCTTTATTGGAAAGTCAGATATACAGAGAAGAGGAGAGACAGGAAGATCCTCCATCTGATGAATCACTCCCCAGGTGGCCACAACGGCTGGGGCTGGGCTGATCCGAAGCCAGGAGCTTCTTCTGGGTCCAGTGCTTTGGGCCATCCTTGACTGCTTTCCCAGGCCACAAGCAGGGAGCTGGCAGGAAAGTGGGGTTGCCAGGACACGAAGTGGCATCATTATGGGATCCCGGCACATGAGAGGTGAGGACTTGAGCTGCTAAGCTACTGGGCTGCTAGTATTTCTTGAACCTTCCCTCCCCTGAGTACCTGCGAATTCCCTTTTTCCCTCCCTGCCTCAATCCTTCCCCCACCTCCTTCTGTTTCCAGTAACAGGACTAGGGGAAGTTTACTGAAGGCTGCCTGTTGTCTTTGTATGCGAGGTTATCATTAAACCAGATGCAGGCGGACCTCCTTAGAGCTAGCATCAGCAGTCCTTAATCCCGGCACGTAACTCTCACCCTTGCTCTCTCGTCCAGGGAAGAGGAGAGTAATGCGAAGGGCGGCGTGTGGAAGATGAAAGTCCCCAAGGACAGCACGGTAGGTTGGTTTCTCACCTTTTTCCCAGGACAGCTGAAGCCGCAGTGGCTGCTGGCTGCCTGCAATGGCTATGTTGTATACAGGGAGGCCGCCTGGATAGTCAGCCTTGAGGCCTAGATCCGGGATGGACAGCTCTGCCCGGGGTGGTTCTCCAACCTCCTCCAATGAGTAGGCTTGTGCTTCTATATACAAAAAGTATCAGAGTGCCACCCTCCCATGGAGCCTGCCAGCATTGTACCCTCACCGGCTTGACAGACAAGCTGACGTCTTCACAGGCCCTGGGGACACAGCTCTTGCTCTGGCTGTAGCTGATACAGGGGAGGTGCTTCCCACCAAACCCTCTTTTCCTCCGGGGTAGGAGTGGTGCTGAGGGCCTCGACAGAGTGGAAAAGCGGCAGGCATGGCACCTGCCGGCTCTTTGGGGTCATGTGAGGCACCCATATAAAACATATGGCGGGAACAAATAACAGATCAGGCGAGTAAGAAGCCCCACTACCTCCCCCTCTATCAAAGCGAGGAGAACAGAGAATATGTCAGCGCGTAAGAGAATCTAAGGTTTTCAAACTATTGCCAAGTACATGCTGTCATGTCTTTTCCTTTCGTTTGTACGTTCACACCACACTTTGAATTATAGTGGAAGCAGTCTTGATGTTCACGTTCATTGCAGACTGGCTGGAGAGCGTCTTTTCTTCTCCAGGCTAGCCCTTGGGCTAATAGCTGACAAGGCACCTGTGGCTGGGCCGGGGCCCTCTGCCAGGCAGCTCACCCGCTCCAGGTGTGGCTCTAGGAGTCTGCTGAGCCAGCCCTGCTGGCATCCCAGCCAGGAGCCTGAAAGCTGCCCGCTTGCAGCTTGCTCATGCCAAGCTCACCTGCAGCCCTAGCACACACATGAAAAAGGTTGAGAGACCAGTGGGGCAAAAAGGAGAATCTAGCATAGAGAAGAGCTGCTCACCGGCTCAGGGCTTCCTGGTTAACTGCCATGCCCTGGTTAAAAGATCAGCAGGATGGCATTAAGCTCCTTAGGCATAATAATAAACACTGTCATTATAGTTAATATGTATTGAGTACCTGGTTCATAGCAAACATGTCACCACCATCGACGGGGTGGATCTTAGAGTGGAGCCAGTTTGTTAGCCACTGAGCTAAGTCCCGTGGGCGCAGTCGTTGGCTGTTTTCACACTCACAGCACCCCTGGGAGGGTGGGCCTTTAATGCCTGCTTGATTCACCTAAGGAAATATGCGCAGACAGGTCACAGAGAGGACCAGCCATGTTTTGGGAGGCTTCAGAGCCTGTCAGCAATGGCATGCGGGACGCCTGGGATCCAGTCCCAGCAAGGAGAAGAAAAGGAGGGACTGGGCACCCGCTAGGCAGGGAGGAAGAGGGTGCTGCCTGATGACCGGGAGGCATGTGTAGACCTTTAGAAGAAATAGACCCTTGAGGAGGACGGGGGAGGTCCAGGAGCAGTGTGACTAAGTCTTTCAGGGAAATTGCATGCCTTCATCCACGAAGTTCTATCATTTAGCATAAACAGTCTGCCTCAAGTGAATGGAATTCTGCAAGTCTCTAGGCTTAGTAAACAAGGAATTTCCCTATGCATTTTTTTTTTTTTTTTTGCCTTGTGTAACCTTCAAAGAACCTTATAAACAGTGAGGGGGGAAAAAAAAGGAAAGAGTGTTAAAGAGAATGTTACTAAGAATACCCAAATATAATCAGCTGGTACATTTTGAATCAGAGGAAAAGAATGAGAACGTTGTAGTTTGGGTACATCTGCCCCATTCTTCTGGGCTTGATCAGGGGTCTCTCAGGTTGGCTGCCGTCAGGCTGTGGCCTACCTGGACGGTGCCTATCACCGTTGCATCCATTTACGTTGGAGGGGTGCAGCTGTCTGGAGACCTCCAGAGATGGGCGCGGGAAGGGGGCGTGAGGTTGAGGCTAGCGGGACTTGTCTCGGACTCCCAAAGAGATTCTAAACATGTGTCTGTGTTTTGTTTCTCTGTTTCGTCCCTCTCCCCCATCAGTCCACAGTTTGGAAAGAGCTGTTGTTAGCAACTATCGGAGAGCAGTTCACAGACTGTGTGGCAGCAGGTAAAGGACCCGGCCCCCAGCCACCCCTACCTTGCGCGTGTGCTTGGGCCAGCCTGTTACTCGCACCAGTGTGTTGTGTGTGTGTGTGTGTTATGAAGTTGTTCATTTGCTCGTTTTCTCATGTGGTTGTGGGGTGTACGTGTTAAAGATGTGTGAACGTGTACGCATGTTTACATGTACGAGTTGAGCATCCCCAAGTTCAAAATCCAAAATGCTCTGAAACCTGAACTGCAAGCAGACATTTCCACACTTGACCTCTTGCATGCAAAATTTGCTTCATGCATTGGTTGTTTCACAGTATTGGGTTTTTTTTTTTTAAGATTTATTTATGTTTATTACAAAGTCAGATATACAGAGAGGAGAGAGAGAGAGGAAGATCTCCGTCCGATGATTCATTCCCCAAGTGAGTGCAACGGCCGGTGCTGTGCCGATCTGAAGCCGGGAACCAGGAACCTCTTCCTGGTCTCCCACACGGGTGCAGGGTCCTAAAGCTTTGGGCCGTCCTCGACTGTTTCCCCAGGCCACAAGCAGGGAGCTGGAAGGGAAGTGGAGCTACCAGGATTAGAACTGGTACCCATATGGGATCCTGGCACGTTCAAGGCTAGGACTTTAGCCGCTAGGCCATGGCGCTGGGCCCTTCACAGCCTTGTTGAAAACATTCACTTTCAGGCTCTTTGTGCAAGTTATTTATGAAATGTGTGTGTTGCATGTTTTGACATGGACCTGTCCCCAAGGCATCTCATTTAAAGACATAAATATTACAAAATCCAGAAAACAAAATCCAGAACAGAGCATTTGGTCACCAGCATTTCAGATGAATAGTCAGCCTGAGTTATATGTGTAACTCAACTGCGTGACGTCCACAACCACCTGTCCCTAAGATGTAAGCGGAAGAGTTCATCACCAGCTGGACTCGTGACACCACTTGTGGTGACTCCTTCCTCTGTTCCCGTTCTTCCAGAAGGGGAGGTGCCCTCAGTGTCAACCCCGCTCCAGGTGTCCAGTCTCTGGGCTCCACTCTTGGTCCCGTCCCCTTTGGCGCGTTTCCTGCTCCTGTCCCCTTTGGGCAGTCCGTGGCCGTCATTCTCACACCGATGACAAAGATGAAATGCACTGGGATGGAAGATAAAGCCAAGGTCTTCGGTGAATTTCCAAGAGCCTCTGCCAGCAGTTTTGTTTGTTCTGTGTTTACCCAGAAAGCACTGGAAGAGGAGAAATGAACTGCTGTTTTTTCTAAGTTGGGTAGCACAGAGAATCGTGTAGTTCCTGTTCAGCTTTCAGCTTTTCCCCATCTTTTTTTTTTAAGCTAATTGGCATTGAGCAGCTGGCCCTCAGTCCGTCCACCCCCCTGCTAGAGCCCTGGGAGGGCAGCTCAATTCTGAGCTCCTTCCATTCCAGGGGCGAGTTTCAAATTCATCTTGTTGGCAGTTCCAAAAGTCTCCTTTTTGTTTTTGCCTGCTTTTACACCACATTTTGTTTAAGATAAAATTGCCCCCTAAAAGTACAGATTCCTTCTGTTTCAGCAGGGAGTCCTTAGCAACGTTAGCCTATGCAACCCAAAATACATCCTGTGCGTGATTATAAACACACAAATCCCTGGGAGAGAGGGGGTTTTGGGAATGAATTACCCTTGTTTCCAAGACCAGAGAAAAATAACACAAGTAATAATAAACAGCCAATATTGAGTAAAAAGACGTCCAATTGTTCTGCGGTTGACTTGGGCTGGGAGAGCAACATTAACTATTAACCATTGGCGCTTCCATTAACCAGCTTTGCCCCTTGATGCAAGTTAGCTAATCTCTCTGGACCTCGCTCTGTCGTCTTCAAGTAGTGGCTGCCTCTTGTTGTAGTGTCGTATGCTGCCAGTACTCTAAAGTTAATCAAGGGTTCAGTGGGGATCTGACTTAGGTATATTGCGTCTTTGCTGATGGATCTGCCTGTGTGTTAAGACCTGCAGCATTTATGCTGTGCTGCCCTTGGAAGTGCTGAGCTCTGAACCACGCCGAGCAGCCCGAGGCTGACCCACATTGACATGGGGACGGCTCAGCGCATCCAGCATCCCTCGCCCTGGAGTGAAAGACCGACCACAAGACTGAGAAAATCACACCTCTCCCCCGGACGGCAGATCCGTCCCCAAGAGCAGCCAACCGCAAAGCCCCCATGTCCCCAAGGATTTTATCTTCACATAAAATTTAACACTGTGTTCTAGCTCAGAGTAAAACTAAGACACCTAAACAAACAAAAAAATAACAACAAAAAAAAGCCTTTTCTTGATGGAAACATGGATGCCTACAGATGGCCATGACCAGACTTGTTTGTTTGGAACTTTCTGTTGAAGCATGTTGCATCTGCTGCAGTGCGCACACACTGTGTGGGGAGCTGCATCAGTACTGACACTCCTGTGTGGGAGGAAGGCTCCCTGCAGAACCTGAGAAGGGTGACGCTTCACTTCTTACCAGTGTAGGCTACTTTTCTTACCTGTTCCTAAATATTGACCTAAGAGAAGTCATATCGTCTGTGCACAGTCAGGATCACATTCATTGCAAAAGGCAGGAAAGAAGAGAGGGAGAAAGGGAAGAGAAGAAGTACGGAAGAGGAATTCATCCCGTGAGTTGGAGGAGCCTCCTTTTAAAGGATACCCTAACACTGAGAAGTGTTCACCTCCAGCAGCCCCAGGGGCACGAACGTGTGGGTATACGGAGGCTGGCAAATTGGGCAGAACGTATTAACTAGAGCAAAGTTTCCTACTTTGGATAGTTTTCATCTCCGTACGTGTTAGTTATTGATGGTGAGTGTGGAAGTACAGGCAGCAAACCCTGTCTTACTGCTGTGTCACAAACGTGTCAAAGCGGAAGTCAAAAGTCAAAAGTCATTTGGCTGCCAACTTTAGTATAAGCAAAGCGACTGCAGGGGGGCGTATAACAGAACAGCAGCACCTTACTTTCTCCTCAAGCATCTACAGGTCAGCTCCCACAGCAGGAAGCCCCCGTTAATGAGTGTGGATGATCTGATGCTCGTTCTTGAGAGGACTGTAACAGCACAGGTATCCTTAAGAGGTGCTGCCAAACGCAGGTGGATCTCGAGCCTGCCGTGCCCCAGACCTTAGGAGACTGTTAGAGGGAAGATTCAGAGAGCAGGGAGAATGAATGGGAGAGGAACCCAAGACCGGCAGAGCACGGAAGCAGAGAAGCAGCTGGGAAGGGGCAGCGGGGGGATGAGGGGGGGCACACAGCACAAGGACCCCAGCTTCTGTGACAGCATGACAGGAAGTCAGGAGAAATTCTTGGAGCTCCTAGCAAAAAAAAAAAAAAAAACAAAACAGCAAGGCATGGAGAAAAAGTTCCTTTGAGGTCACTTGGCATTCAGAGGGTGGGGAATTATGCAACCCGTTTTAGAAAAGTCTCATCAAAACAGAAATAGTTGAGAGGTCTTGGTAACATGTTAGAAAGGGTAAAATGATTTATCTGGAAGATGCATTTGGCTAGAAGGCTGTGTTTGTCTGTGTCTTGAGATGGGTGGGATGTGAGCGCAGCAGCTCTCAAGTACTGGCTTGCCTTTGCCAGCACCTCCCCGGAGAGCTGAGGATGAGTCACAAGTCCTCTTGCGCCACCTTTTTTTCCCCATCTTCTCCCTCACTTGCAGATAAAACGATGACGTAGCCCAGAGCCACCCGACTGCTGCACAGCCATCACTCACCCCCTCTTTGGTTTCCCGTCTTCCCCACAGATGACGAGGTCATAGGAGTGAGTGTCAGTGTCCGGGACCGAGAGGATGTGGTCCAAGTGTGGAACGCCAACGCCTCGTTAGCAGGCCAAGCCACAGTTCTAGAAAAGATCCATGAACTTCTGCCCCACATATCTTTTAAAGCAGTATTTTATAAACGTAAGTGCTTCATTTCCAGTTACTACTTTCTAGTGTATTCTGTCATTCTTTGAGAGCTAGAAACTGTGTTACAAATAAGATGAAGGCAGAGGCATTTGAAATGCTGCAACTCAGGAGAGAATTCACTAAGCTACCTGCGTTAAGTTGAGTCTCGGAAATTAAAATGAGCTGCTTTTCTTGCCTGCCTGCATGGATCTGAAAAGGAAGTAGACATCGTATTTGTTACATTTCAGAAAGTTGAACCTGAGCTAAAAGTTGTCATTCTCAGGAGAAATTACATCCTATTGGAAAGAACAATAATAAAAATGTCATTATGTGAACTGGCAGGTAGACATTCAATCATGCCTTCCTAAACAGGGCTTCATAACGTATAGCATCTGTATTGGTGGAGGAAACTTGCTCTGAGCCTGAGCGTGCTTGAATGTTCTACTGGAATGCTAATATGTCCTCATTGTGGATGACTGCTTAGACCCGACAGAGCACATGTGTGCTGGTACAAGGAGATCACCATGAGTAGGTGTGTGGACCCACTGTTTCCATGATTTGTGTTCATCGCTTTTGCGTACTTTTTGGAAAAAAAAAATCAACTTTTTCATCTTAGTACCATTAAACTGTTGGGTAGACCGAACTGCAGGTTACATTTTGAACAGTGAGTTAGAGCTCGATTGATCACACTTGGCTAATACATTTCCTGTATCCCGAACTGTTTCCAAGAGTCAGCAACCCATTTTTTTTTTTTTTTGCAAACTTGTTCATTTCACTGAATCTTACAATGCCCTTTGATGATGCCCCATTATTGAAGAGTAGAAAGAAGGAAAAATAAAAGGTAAATTGACCCGTTATTAATTCCAGAGATCCTCAAATAGGTGTGTGCTGGTGGGGGCGGGTGCCTCTTAGAATCGCTGAAACAAGCTGCATGGTCGGTCCAAGTTTCCCAACTTCCTGCCAAGATGGGGGTTTTTAAAAATCACATTTTCCTTTTGTGATTGTCCTAGTGTAATAGCTGTTAATGTAGGGGATGACACCATACAGGCCAGTGGCTCACACAGGCCATATGTGCCCAATGGTTTGGATCTGGCCCATCTTCTGAATTCTGCAAAAAAAAAAGATTTCAGTACGAGAGGCTGCAGGGTGGAGCTGCAGAGGTTGCCCCTTGGCTGTGCAGCCTGGAAATGGTGCCTTTGTTGGCGCTACGTTTATTCTTTAGGGATGCATTCATTACAGACAGTAATTGAAAGGTGACTGCAGATTTCACGGGGAGCAAATGTGTCCCCTGGCCTTTCTGAATGGGGCAGGACACTCATGAACACTTTTGAGCCAGCCTGCCCCTCCCTTCCAGGGAGGAGTCATTGAATCAAGCACTCTGGATTTAGGTCCCACTTCATGAGCAAGTCTCTCATACCCTTTATTTTCTCATGCCTGTGATTCTTCCATTGAGTATTGAGTGGGTTGGTCTTAGATGATCTCCAAGGTTCCTTCTACTTCAGAAGTCTCTGATTAAATTCCTGGGGTACACAGTGGCTGACAATGGGCTTAACAAATACAAATTTATACTGCCTCATCAGGTCACAGAGTGTTAGGCTAGTTTGTAGAGCCATGGCCGGTGTCAGGTGAGACTGACGCAAGGGCAGGATGATGGGTGGCTTAGCTGTTGTGATGACCGGGAAAAGAGAAAGGTCCAGCCAAGAGGAAGAAAGTTGTATCTTAGCCAGCTGAATGAAGGTCAGTTGACACCCTGCGGTGGATGCCACGGCTGTTAGTGAGGGACATCCAACCAGCGCAGGTCTCAGCAGAAATCCATAGTTTTGATTGCATATTTGAACATGGAAAAAAAAAAGCAAACATTATCAAAAATTCAAATTGGCCAACAACAAGCCATTTTCCTTATCTGATATGAAGCAGGCAGTCCTTTACTCAGCAGGGTTGCACGCCACATGCTGCAGGAGTGACTTGGAAGATGAGGTTTAGGCAGAAGCACTGCTCACAGCATGCCGAAGCCCAGTGCTGGGGTGGAAGCTCAGTTAGAAATGGCCAATTCGCGCTTTCCTTCTGTCTTGTGAATAGCATCCTGGTGAGAAGTGAGGGAATAGCAGACTTTCTGTGGAGAAAAAACTTCAGGTGTTTGCTGCTGGCCAACAGCGGGTAGATGAGGCCTGGGCCACTGATAACTTACCGAGATGTTTTCACTAAGAACCTCCTAGGGTGCACAGACAGCTGCCCTGCCCACATCTTGCTGAGTTCTGCAGAATGGCTGCATAGCCAAGGTGTTTTCTGATTGGTGAGTGATTTGGAACAGGGATTGGCAAACTGGGGACTTGAGCCAGATCTGCCCCTTGCCTCTTCCCCTCCTGCCACTTCTCTCCCAGTCCATTTTCATAGGGGTGTGGCTGAGAATGTTGTTTTGTTTTCATTTTAAAATGACTAAAAACTCAGAAAAACTGTATTTTGTGGCACCTGGAAACAACATGGATATCAAATTCCGGTGCTGTTTTGTTAAGTTTTCCTGGCACATGGCAGCGCCCACTTGTGTCCGTATTGCAGCTCTGCTGCAGTGACATGGCTGTCCAAGGCATCAAGACTAAAATGCTGATTCTTTTCCCCTTCCAGAAAAAAAAAAAAGTATCTGCTTGGTGGCTTAGAGCAGTTCTGAAGTCCCCTTGACCAAGGCTGATGTAGGGGTGATGGCAGCCCCTGTGGTCCCTCCAACTCTCTGGGGTTGCTCTGTTCTCCTTAACATGTCAGCATGGTAGTACCCTAGTTGTAAGCGCTCAAACTGTCCCTCACTCCTATAAGTAACCAAACTCTTTGGCTCGTCCTCACCTCTATAAAGTGGAGGCCAGTATGCCTGTAGTTCTTCAGCTCCTCTGCTTGACTTCTGCCTGACTTGGTCCTTCATCACAGACCAGTGGTGACTGCCCTGGACTCTTTGTTAAGCACAAAGACACACACACACACATAGAGTGATGGAGGGAGGGAGTGAAGGAGAGAGAGAGAGAGAGAGAAATATTTGTAGAGTTGTACTTGCAATAAATGTACAATGGAATAAATTCAGATCTCAGGCCACCCTGGGGTGTCCACAGCACTTCTAAGCTGTGCTTTTCCCTGTGTTTCATCCAAGGAAATAACAGGTTGGAGTAAACATCAAAGATGGTCTTAAAGGAAAAAGCTAGTTCTCCCCAACCGAGCTATTCTTAAGGAGTTTCTAGACCATCTGGAGAACAGAGAACTGGGAGGAGCTTAATGATCTGTCCAGGGCACCACCTGCCATTCTGGGGATGCAAGGGGCCAGGGCGTAAAACATGCAGCACCCCCTCCTCAGCCCCGGCTGTGGCAGACCTTGCTTCATGCTGATGGTTAATGCAGGCCAGGCCTGGAGTTTTCACATTTGGCCTTTGGCCTTTATTATGCATCTCACAGATCCCTGGTTTCCCACCTCCTACTCTGAGAAAATGTGAAGTCTTTGAAAGTATTTTCAGTAGCATGGTTTTTCTTAACTCTCAAGTTCCTAATTATAATCACTCATTTTGAAATCCAACGAGGGGGCTGAAAATCCACTGAGGAGAACAAACCAACAAGCACGCATGGGGACAATGAAAGACCCTTCAATCTTGTGAAACTTCATTTTCCTACTCAGGGAAGGTGGGGTGGACAGGAATCTCATGGCTGTCATGCTTGTGTGGTTTTCTGTTTGGTTTGGTTTGGCTCTAATGTATGTATAAAGGTAGGCTTGCGAATGGCTCTGTTGGGAAAGCTATCCCTCCCGTCCTTGCCTGTGCATGGAGCATCTGCCTCAGCCCCCCAGCATCTCCCTGGAGCCCCCACATATTCAGTTCCTGAGCTTGCTGGAAGGCTGCCCCGGTCAGGCCCAGCAAGAAGAAGTAGACAGTGCGGCCATTGCTTGTGTGTTCCTTGATTTACTTCTCATCATGACATTTTTCAGGAAATGCACGCCTTAGCTAAGAGTTACTGGCAGAAAAGGTGTTTGAGTTCTTGCCAACATTTGGGGAAAGCTGAATGAGATGCCGAGAGAAGGGTTGGCCCATCCTTTGCTTAAAGTTTTCTTTCCTTTTTTTCTTTTTTGTTTTTTTCTGTCCTTTTAGCCCATGAAGAGCATCATGCTTTTGAAGGTGGACGTGGAAAACACTAATTGCACTCTGTAAAGAATTCTTTGTCCTTTGCTGATTGGTTTTGGAAACGGTCTTAACAGGAGGGAGAGTGAAGAGAAGACTTGCCGCAGCCCGGAGCTGGTCCATTTAGAGTGGGTTTCTGTCCTTGCAGACTGGGCAAAATAGGCTTCGAGGTGGCAGGTGGGGGACGGGGAGGGGAGGGCGAGGATGTGGGTTTATCGTCATGTTACTTGCTGTCTTGGAAAAAAGGATTTTTTTTTTTTTGCTTTTAAAATTCTGTTTTCATCCCGTTTTTTTTTTCCTTTAAATTCTTTATCCCATCTAATTATTGTTTTCTACACTCCCCTTTCATGGAGGTACACAAAATGGGTTTCCCTCTAAGTAGCTCTGCTGTACCTAGTTAATGAGAATGTGCGTAGTCATGACAGTGCTGCTTTTGCAAACCGCACTGGACAAGGGGGAGTCAGAGCCTGGCGAGGCCTGTCTCCTGATTGTCTGGGGGGACTCAGGCCTGCTCCCCTGCAGCCCGGTCCCGGTCTCCGCTCTGCCAGGGGAAAGGAAAACTGGGCTTAATCTGATTTTGTCTTCACAGCACCCACTGCTTTTATTTTTTTTCATTTTTAAAACATCTTTTTTGTTGTTGTAGCTAGTTAGAAGAAGAAAACAATAGTTGGGTTTATCTAACATGGAAACTGTCATCACAGTTCAGACCAACACATAAATACCAGACCCCAAGTCTTTGGCCCCTCTAAGCAGAATTTCAGTTCGCCCCTTGACTTTTCGATGAAAGGCTTAGAGCGGGAACGAGAGACTTTTCCCAGGAGAAGGCCTGGTATTTCTGATTGCAAGAGAAAGTGATATTTTAATTGCTTC